GCTCATCGAGACGCTGACCTTCCTCAAAAGATGCTGCGATCACAAGGTAATACCCATCGCTTTCACACTCACTTCTGCTGCTGTATCTTCTCCGAATTCTAAACAGATTCTGTTTAAGGCCAGCCTATCTTTAATCTCAGAGAGGATAAGGCTACTCCGATTTGAACTCGATACTTTAGACAGGACTCTCCTACAAGCTCATTTAATGTTAACACAAAAAAATGTCACCTTCTGATAGGAATCACGTAGACAACATGACTGCTTCTTCTGCTGATTCACTGTCAGTCAAATGTAAAGCTAACCTGATTTCTAAATTCAACCACCTATCAAAGAAGATCCCAGTTCCACATATAACAAAACTAGATGTTAACAAAATCGTCATTAATCAGAGTAGCACCCCGATTTCAGACAATCTGAAAACAGTACTGGCTAGGGGACTGAATTTTGCTGTCACCCCAAAACACATACCAGTAGATGATATCATCTCTCAGGTCGATGTAGCCCTCAAAGCCGTAGGACACATCCAAGCAGACGTTGCGAGAGCTGAAATAGCCACTATTCTTAAGAATGCTAAGAAACCCATTAGTAACATCAGCAAAAATGAACGCTCTGAACTCGCGAATTTAAAAAACAGAAGTGATATAGTCATCCTCTCAGCCGATAAAGGCAACGCTACTGTAATTATGGATAAAGATTCATACAACAACAAAATCCAGAATCTGCTCAACGATGGAAGTTACTCAAAAATTAAAAATGACCCTACCAATAGCCTAGCGATAAAAACAAACAAGATCATCACAAGTTCGACCTCCCTAATCGACCCAACTAAACATCCCTCCCTAAAACCTTCTGCTGCAAGACCCCCTAGATTCTATGGTCTTCCCAAGATTCATAAAGAAGGCACCCCACTACGACCCATCGTATCCACGATCAACTCCCCTACCTATAGACTAGCCCGTTTTCTGTCAGATACCTTGCTGCCTTTCACTGGCAAGACCACCTCAGCAGTACTTAACTCAGCCCAATTGGTCTCTATGGTCAAAGACGTTGTACTGTCCCCTGACGATATCCTTGTCAGCTTCGATGTGGTCTCTTTGTTCACCAAGGTCCCAGTACCTGATACCATTGAAATAATTGAAAATTTGGTCCAACATAGACTAGACCCCGATACACCTGCACTGGTTAGGCACTGCCTCAACAATACCTACTTTACTTGGAATGGCTCCTTCTACAAACAAAATGAGGGTACCCCCATGGGATCCCCCTTGTCACCAGTGATATCCAATATTTTCATGGAGAAATTTGAATCAGACGCCATCCAGATTTCCACCCTCAGACCTTCCCTGTGGAAGAGATATGTGGATGACACTTTCGTCATTTGGCCACATGGCCTCCCAGCTCTGAACCTTTTCTACACCACATCAATTCCAGACATCCCGCCATCAAATTCACCATGGAGATGGAGAAAGATGGCAAGCTACCATTCTTAGATGTTCTGTTTGAGAGGAGACCTGATGGCTCATTGGGGCATTCTGTCTACAGGAAACCCACCCACACAGATTCCTACTTGAAACCTGATTCCCACCACCACCCAGCCCAAAATAATTCTCTCATCAAAACTTTATACCATAGGGCTCATTGCATTTCGGACCAACACCACCTGACCAGTGAATTAAAACATGTACACCTGGCCCTCAAAAGGAATGGATACTCTGACCGTACCATCCGCCAAGCTGTTTCTCCCTCCATACAGAAACAACCACTTGATACTCCGGTCAAAACCATCACACTACCATATATAGCAGGCGTTACTAAAAAGATTTCCAAAATTCTAAACAAACACAAGATTCAGGTCCGGTTCAATACAGTACACAAAATTCGTGATCTGATTCCATCCGTGAAGGATGTCATTCCTGACTTACAGTACCCCGGGGTTTACAAATTGAGTTGTACCTGCGGTGATTGCTATATCGGGGAGACAAAGCGACATGTGTCTGACCGAATTCGCGAGCACAAATCAGATTTGAAACACGGCAAAACGAATTCTTCTGCCGTAGCTGATCATTGTTACAACGCTGTGGGTGATCACGATATAATTTTCTCCGATACCAAGGTCTTTTGCAAACCCATGGGTTTTTATCAGAGATTTGTTCACGAGGCAATTCAGATCTACAAACACAGACACAATTTCAACCGAGAAGATGGCTTCAAATTAAGCAACCATTGGACAGATCTTCTAAATCGAACCAAACGTTAAAGGAATTTTAATGGTACAGTATATTCATTCAATTAGTGGCATCCCAAACTCTCACGGTGGTGCTAATGTATTTTTGATGCTACTTGCGAGCTTGCACAGCTTTACATTTTATGCTAATTCCTTTGTCAAGGTGTTTTTTCTGTTTACCCACTCACAGCTTAAAGGAGGCGACCTGCGCTGGACTTGTTTAATGGTACAGTATGTTCATTTAATTAGTGGCATCCCAAACTCTCACGGTGGTGCTAATGTATTTTTGATGCTATTTGCGAGCTTGCACAGCTTTACATTTTATGCTAATTCCTTTGTCAAGGCGTTTTTTTCTGTTTACCCACTCACAGCTTAAAGGAGGCGACCTGCGCTTGACTTTTTCACTCCAACGCTGTCCTCTGGACAGGTTGGTCCCTTCACCTGATGAAGGCCACTTGTGTTGTGGTCGAAACGTCGTGATTTTTGTTGTTTTATTTTTTACCTACGTGACTTTACCGAATAGAACCAAAGAGTATGGATCCTTGCAGTCACGAAAGCTTTAAATCTAGAAAAGAATATTAACCTTCGATTCCTTCGCGCGATATAAAGAATCGAATCTTGGCGCGCGAGCGTAAGTTTTTTTTATCCACCCCGCGCATTGGGTTTCATTTCAATGTTTATTAATGAGGTAATGATAAAAGTTATTTTTTTATTTGTATATGTTACGTTTTGAGAAGTTTTCAATATATTTTTCCCCCGGGCAACACCGGGTGCTTCCCGCTAGTTTCTGTATACAGGAGACAAGATTACGAAATGTGACTTCACTTTCCTTGTCATCAAATACCAAACACAGGGTATTACTGATGTTGCTGTTCTTTAATTGAACAAAATATGGAAAAATATTACATGTGGGTGGCAACCCCTAAAGTATTGATGCCAACTTCGCGACAGGACTTTGACTCGACAGGTAAACAGCCAAGAAGAGAAGCCTTGCAACCATGCGGATGGACAGCTCAAGAAGAGGGGGCTGTTACTTAGCCCTCGGCCAGAAACAAGACGACGAAATGGCGAGGTGAACAGCACGCGGTCCTGTACTTTATAGACAGCAGAGAAAACGATACATCCGCATAGGCAAAGCAGCAATTATATTTAACCAAGAATAACTTTAGGGAAGTGACAGCTGTAGAAAGGAATTAAAATAATTGTAAAGCAAATTTCAACACCTAAAGACCTGTTAGAGCAGCTGTGGTGCAGTGGTTAACACACTGGACAATGAACCCAGTGACCTGAGTTTGATTCCAGGCCACGGCTAACATCATTGGCAACTGATATCTCAACCGGTCTTGGGCACGCCCCTCCATCAACCCACAACGACCAGCATGGGGAAGTATGGTCAAACATTTCCATGGACTGGCATAGTGGGAGGCCATTCAGTCACTAGTGGATTGCCATATGACTATAAAGATTATTGTTGATTGTTTAACAGCACAGCAATGCCCACTGTGTTTTGATCCTCATACCATGCTTGCTCGCATGCCCCCATGCCTATATCTATCGGTATATGACATTTGCTAAGAAGGCCATGCAAGGATGCATATCAGTGCATTCTTATGACTGCACACATACAAACACTGGTGGCTGGGGACATGCCAGAATTCTTGCACAGACATAGGCACATGCCTGCAAAAGACAATGACAAAGATCCCCCCTGTATAATCTTTAAACAGACTGTTGGAGCAAATTATTTTAGTGGGCACCTATAAAGGCCGACAGCACACAAAGGTGAGATGGCCAACACCACGCCCAGCTGCGTGTGTTTCCCCAGTGCTCATGTTTACACACTGCAGCAGGTACTTACCATTTAAAGCTGAGTCAACCTACGGTAGGCCCAGGACCAATTCAAATATTCACCACTGTTATTTGTTGTGAGTGGGAATCAAACTCGGGTCGCTGGGCTCACCGCACAATGCACTAACCAATTAACTACCACTCCCCATTACACTACCAACATGCCTACAAACACAGACATCCAAGGGTGCCAGCTCACACACTCGCTAACTTGACATCCTGGCATGCTCGTACACACGCTCATTCATCCGTATATGGGTGCCTACATTTGAGGTGGCAAGAATATGTATTAGGGTCGTGAACATTTAAGCTTTGTTTCACATTATCCATAATGACATTATCAGTTAACTAACCTTCACCAACCCACTGACCATGGTAGTGAAGTATGGTCAAACAAGCCCCATGACCGACACAGCGTGGCGAGGCTGTCATCCAGCATTAGATTGACAAGGGGCTGCAAAGCATTTGTTAACATTTATTTTATATCTAATGGGTTGTCACGTGACCAATGACATTGGAACGCGGTGTGTGATTTGAACGTTCGCGTGCGCAAATCTGTTCAATGGACACTAAAACTGAACTAGATGTAATCACCGACGCAAATAACCTTTGGAACGGTTCATTAATTCCGAAAATGATTACCAAAAAACGAATAATCGATTAATAACCAGAGTCTGTACAACTTTCACACAAACAGACCATGCGAGCGAGATAAGTGACATTCTTTCTTCCATAACTTTGCCATATATTTGCATACAAGAACCAATAAAGTGAACTATGTGGAAAAATAATTATTTTCAATAGGTCATTAAAAACCATATGAAGTAATGGAATTAATAACTTTTAACAGACAGAACACATAACATTTATGCAAGACAGCAAACGAAAGATAAACAAAACAGGAAACATAAAACCGCAAGCGACTTACTTTGGCATTTACATAGGGGTCAAACGGGCCATGCCGTTTCACTTCTGACTTTTCACTCGGAATCTGTAAAACGCGACAAAATATCACAGCACATGACTATACCGAACCATGGGTCGAGGCAGCAGTGCTGCTTATCCACACAACCAAACAGATCGACCCTCAGATCAATAATAGGATGCAAACCATATAAAACTTGAGATGTAGTACCGCTTTTCTTTGCCCGCATGAAAAGTGTCGAACTGATCTGCTGGTTAAATAATAGATATTTAAAACTTCATGTCTATAAATGGTTATGTATAGCACATGTGTGTGTATATGATTACTATAAACACAAAGTGGATGCATTACAGGTAACAATGCACGTTTTTACTTTAATCAAATGTTAATTTACACTTGAAAATAATAATTTTTTCAACATTCTGCCAAACATAATTTTGTGAAAAGGGGAGCCCTAAAACAGTCGTGTAAACATGGAATTGTATATCCTCTTATTTATACAATGTAAGAATCCACTGAAGCTCAAGCACAGAGTAAACGTGTAAACAGATGGTGGTCACAAGTCTAACTTCATAAACCTGATATCAATACGAACTTGTTCTTTGGTTCTTTCGGTAAAGTCACGTAGAATGAGAATAAAATAATAAATTGATAAAATAAAATAACACAACAAAATTCTCACGACGTTTCGGCCACACCACAAGCGGGAGAATTTTATTGTGTTATTTTATTTTATCAATTTATTATTTTATTCTCATTCTACGTGACTTTACCGAAAGAACCAAAGAAGATGAATCCTTGCAGTCACGAAAGCTTTAAATCGAAATCAATACGAACATTAAACAACAATGATGAATTCACAATAAATAACAATGGCATTCAAATGTTAGCTGTGGAATAGGGTAAAGTTCAAAAGCAATTACAAGAATGATGATAATAAACGAATTTATTTTTTTTACATTGTGAGAGATGTCTTAAATTGCAGAGATTTAAGTGTGAAATTAATAAACCGATAGATTTGGCGCTAATGTTTCAGTAAATAACTTTAAACTAAACTTGGTCGAATTTAACAGAGCTGCATACAAAAAGGCTGGAGTGGTTATCGTTTTGAATAAAGTGCGACACTGAAATGAGAGTGGTACTTGGAGGCGAAATTTTCGACTGTGCAACAGCTGAAGGATGTAGAGTGATTTTCTGCTCAAATAAGCACTGAGACAGCGCTCATGTCCTGTTTACACCACTGAACCAGTGGTGGAAATCCCACATTCCTATGACAAGGTGGAGTCCATCCATAGGACAACCACTGTTGATTTTCCCACCAAGTGTTACTAATTTTATTGACCCCAGAGGGATCATGGGCAGGGTCAACCACACCCCACCCCTCCCCAACCAGGATTTGAACTCTCGACCTTCCGACTGCGAGCCGCCCGCTCGACAAGTAGAGCCACCTGGCCGGGGTGTGAAGGAAGCGAGGGCGAGTCGCGATAGGGTAGCAGTCGGCCGTGATGATCTCTTTACCTTACTCTTGAGGTTCGGCGGAGTACGCAACTTCCAGTGTTTTGTGTCGGCGACAGTGTTTACCTGCTGATTGGGTGGGCTGCGGGAAGGTCCGTGCTCAATCAGTATGCGCACGATGTCCGCGTCGCCCCGCCAGGCCGCCAGATGCAGGGGGAAGCAACCCTTGGCGTCTGCCACGTTTGTGCTCGCCTCGTGCTGCAGCAGTCGTAGTACGACCTCCCTGAACACACAAAGACAGAGGTCCCCCACCCAACCCCCCCCCGTATCGCTTTTAACAGACTGTTGGGGGTTCAAAGTGCTGTTAGCGAGCACCTATGGAGGCCGGAATGGCGCACGAGGGGGTGGGTAGCCAGCATCAGTCTCCCCCAGTGGCGATGTTTACACACCGCACCAGGTACTAATTTGAGACCGAGTCAACCTAAGGGAGGCCCGGGACCGGTATAGATATTCGCCACTGTTAATGGTCGTGAGTGGGAATCAAACACGGGTCGCCGGGTTCATAGTGCAGCGCGCTAACCGCGACACTACCGCTCCCCACTGCACACACAGTGCACCAACCTCTGATCTCAGTGTGGTGGGGGATCAGGGTTTGTCATGTGTGGCTCATCCACACAATAACCACGAACAACCCTGCATGTAAGCATCGTATGTATTACACAGCACCTCTGAACTTGCTCCTCTCTATTTCTACTCAACACTCCCACAGTGATATCTGGCTAAGGCGATCATTTATTACGTGTTGCTGCCCCTCGCTTTTGCCAAACAAGTTAATTTGGTGGTTTCGGCTTAAATGCCTCCCTTACCTGGCCTTTTTAAATTCCTTTCTTAACTTATGATTCCCCTTATCTTGCACACGTGGTTAGTGAATCCCACGCGATCTGATGCTACATTTCTGTGCTGCCTGCTGCCAATGTTACTTGAACGGTGCACGACTTGAATGTTGCTGTCTTTCGATGTGTTTGCTACTCAACGTCATGATTTATTCGCTGCTGTTACTTCCCTTTTTTCACTAGGGCCCTCGACGGATGATTCTTGTAGAAAGAGCTTAAGGCTGAATGTTTTTTTTTTTACCCACGTAATCAAAATCAATGAAATCAATCAATTAAAAGATACTGTATATCCATAACAACAGTATTGAATGTATGTCCTGCAATTACTATTTTTAGAAACTTTAAATGAGCATGTTCAAAAACACAAAGTGCACAGGGCCTCATCCTGTGTCACTGCATGTGCGGCACACTAACCCATCTCTAGCCGCAAAGATGTTATGGTTGGCGAGTTATACACAGGGTTTTATAGACACTATAATAGCAGAGCAGTTTCCTCTTAAAAGCATTACCTTTAAAAAACGACTTTTGTTCACAGACTATATGCCAATGCACCACAAAGCATGAACTTCCGAACAAACCACACATCATCAATTAAACCTTCCTACACACTGCCTTTAGACTTCAATCACAAACCTTATGCACCCCATCTTGCCAATGTCACTATTATAATGCTTTACCACATAATGTAGAAAGTGTACAACATAACAAAGATCCCCCATATAGCCTTAACAGACAGTAGGGGCAAGTGCTGTTAGCGAGCACCTATGAAGGCCGGAACGGTACACGAGGGGGTGGGTGGCCAGCACCACGCCCGACCGCCTTTGTCTCCCTAGTGGCAATGTTTACACACCGCACCAGGTACTCATTTGAGGCTGAGTCGACCTAGGGGAGGCACGGGATCGGTTCAGATAATCGTCACTGGTGTTGGCCATGAGCGGGAATCGAACCCGGGTCACCAGGTTCATAACGCAGCGCGCTAACCGCTACACTACCTCTCCCCCCATAACAAACACTATTAAACCAACACAGTGCAAAAACAAATATCTCATGTATAGCCTGAACAGACTTTTTGGGCAAGTGCTGTTAGCGAGCACCTATGAAAGCCTACACACACGAGAGGATAGTTGGCCCGCACCACGCCCAGACGCCTCCGTCTCCCGAGTGTCGACGATTATACAGCGCACCAGGTACTCATTTGAGGCTAAGTCGACCTCGGGGAGGCCCAGGACCAGTTCAAATAATCGCCACCGCTCCCCATAAGTGCACACACACACGCACAATAAAAAATCAGCAGACTGCACCAACAACGTCCAATCATTCCACTCGTCAAACACATACACAGAACACAGCACACTAAGCTGCATGCAACCATTGTGCATAAACCACTTATCCCATTAATAATACTGACATATACATCAAGTAAAACATCCATGCAATGCGGTCCAACGACAATTTTCCTTAACAGAATAAAAAACCCACCCCCCCATGCACCAAGTGTGCACAAGCCTTCCCAGTGCTCTAATAACTCCAACGTCCCTGCATCCACGAGCATACCAAGCATTTAACACACTTGATGCACAAGCCACCATGTACACGTCTGCTTGAGCAAAATGGGACATGCGTGCAGGGCTGGAGGGTGCGCGTTTCAGGTGTCGTGGGTGCTACTCGACATGTGGCTGGTGCTGTGCGCGAAATGCCGAGGCAGCGCTCGTACTTGTGCCCGTTGAGAGCGGCGTGGTGGAGCGGCGTGTACCCAGACGAGTCTACGCAGTTCACTGCAGGTCCACGCCAGATACTGCACGCACAGACACACGCAAAGACAAAGATCCCCCTTTAACGGACTGTTGGGGCAAGGGCTGTTAGCGAACATTTATGATGGCCAACACGCCAAGCGATGGGGTCAGTGGTTAGCAACACCCGACTGACTCCCTTCCCCCGCACCTCCGATTAGCACAGTTGTCTACATACCGTGCATAAGAAGTTCAACATAAATATATCAAGACACCAAGTATTCATTTGAGGCTGAGTCGACGTACGGAAGGTCTAGGACCAGTTCTGATATTCGTCACCGATGCTCGAAGAGGAAATCTAACTCGTGTCACCAGAGCACAGTGCACTGACCACTACATTGGATAACTCTTGCACAATCATACATTGGTTCACTCCATTGACAATTTATTACTGCAGTGACGAGCTTACAATAAAATTGTAATATTAAAAATATGATGATTTTTCGTTTCTCCGGTAGCCCAGGAAACCATCAATGTTGGTCACACGGTTGTATATAGACAGTATATATTTATAGCCACACAGATATGTTCTCTGCATCTGCCTCCTCCGCAACCATAAGCACCAAACTCACAACTTTCTCAAATTAAAGTTCTGACACTCAAAACCCACAATATATTTTCAATCAGCATTACAAGAAAATGCCTCGACATAAACGTTTACAGTTAAAATATGGCAGTGACTAAGAAATGCATGTGTGCGCACCCACTGCACTCCATTGTAGATGTGGAAACTGTTAAAAGCAAAATAAACTAAAGCATGTGCATGACCGGCGCTCGCCAAAAAGGTGATGTGGACTCGCTCTTGTCTGTTAATAAATTAAGGTGAGCAGCACCAGAATCGGTGAATTAAGAATTCAATAAGTAATGGTGCGTGCGCACGCATGCATACACTGTTGTTAATCCCTTGCGGGTACGGCAGACCTGTATCCAGCTATTTAAGTTGTGATTGTTGTACAAAATAATATACAGCCCTTTGTAAATTAACTGCTGGATTTAGTACAAGCCGCCCAAACCAAACCAGGGTAGAGAGCAACACAACAGAAACAGCATTTGAATTCTGCCTGGCAGAAATGTTCACGTCCAATCCTGTATACTTGACGGGAAAAAAGGCATTCCTTCTTCATCCAGCAGTGGAATGACAAAAGGATGTACGTGACATTACCTAACTTGACGAGATATACCGTTATGGGGCTCATGAGAACTGGCTTTGTGGTGAGTTTTACAGCATCTACTTGGTGACCATGCATGGCACGGTAAAATCTGTAAACCCAAACCAGAAGCATCCCCCCCCCCCCACGTGGAGTGCAAATTGGGCCTGTGCCACAAAAAAATAAAGTTGCAATTGAATTCCGGAGTTGCCCACATGAGGTGTGGTCAACCAGTTGATAAAAATCAGACTGTGTACTCTACTGGACTTAGGACTGACCAGCGTGGCAGGTTGGGCCGAATTTACATTCACAACAAAGTGACAAACCCCATTTTAATATCGTTTTTAGAAAACCAAAATGTTATAAATAAAATAGCTGATAATCTCTCACATCAACTTAAATACTGTACCTACTATAAACCTATGAAGTGGGTCATTGCAAGTTCACAATAAACAGGAGTTGACCATACATCCGAGTTCACAGCATGCCCATGAGAATGTACAGAAGCTCAGAGTGGTTTGCAGATATGCATTTGCACACTTCACTAACTTTACAATAACGTATAATGAATCATGTTAAGAACAGAACAAAACGTACCACCACAGACACTTACATATCAATGGACGTGATTACATTTTTAGTACACCGATTAGCATGGCTGACTGTGTACGGTGCAAAAGAAATTCACCAGAGAGTAAATACATACAATGGGAATTAGAGAAGTTTAATGGGGGGGGGGGGGACACTTATTTGGATTGTTTTGTTTAAATATTATCTGATTAGTAGTGAATGGAAGAGTAACATTGGTAAATGTGTTTGGAGCAACCATGGTATTCACCAACCTTGCATGATAAAAGCATTGTATTTTTTATTATTATTCAAAGTGACAAGACTCTTATTAGCCCGCTCAATGATTGTTTTCAAGTATGTAGTGATTTCCAGTGATGTTCCAGCAGGCTGGGCAGCCAAGAGTCTTCTGCGGTCTGCTTCAAAGTATGAAGAACACTTACTGCTGTTTTCAGACACGCTTTTCCTGCCGATGATTTTTAACTGTAAGTAATTAGTAAATAGCTAACAAAACCAATTTTTGTGACAATTTAGAGTCATTAGGGGTACTTTCGTGGTTACAACAATGAAAGCGGAAACTTGGCTAAACAAGGCTTCAGCAACTTTATGATTCCTCAGGGGTCAGCATTGATGACTAGAGCTCGTCTCGGAAGACCAAAAACCTTGCACAACAGAAGTTGAGAAACTTAAGGCTGTATTTTTTGCGCGGTGCATTCTGTTAAATATTGCAACACTGCACTATAGTTTGCAGCTTCTGACACTGCAATATTCTACGTAATTTTGCGATGCTTGTCAATTGTGCATTATTCATAAATATTTTGCCACAGCCAAAGGAAGGTTCCACAGCCCGTCCTCTGTATTCCCCTCCTCCATGGCCGGTGATCCAGTGGAACGGGTTCACCCAAACCAGACCTTGGCAAGGAAGTTCAGCTTGCTCAGGTCTACATGGGCACGGAAGCATTTCCCGTAACAAATTTTAAATAAACAATTATACATAAACACCACGTGGATAACATACTTGCCAACCCAATGGATTTAAGCAGTAGGCTGCCATTTTTTAAATGAAATCTTTGACCGAATATCACTTTTCAAAGCTTAAATCGGGGAAATTTTAATAAAATAGACGTGTTGAAAGGTGGTATGTGGTCAAAAATATGTTTTTTTTATCCCAGAATCCTTCTATATTATATTACTAGGGTTCGAAAGTACTAGTAGACGTGATTATTAAAGGTTTAATTAATTCTAGTGAGTAAATTGCCAATGACTATAACTTTCATACATTTTCTACATAAATCTTGACTTAAAGCTTTCGTGACTGCAGGAATTCATATTCTTTGGGTCTGTCGGTAAAGCCACGTAGATAGAAAAAAATAAAAATCTAAATCACGACGTTTCGATCGCAACACAAGCAAGCGTCTTCAGGTGAAGACCCAAATACTATTTTCTACATAATGAAAATGTTTTAAACAAAAAAAAACATCAATTGATAATATGTAAAATCTTTGCCTTTAAATATTGATGTTCAATGTTATACACTATTATGAATGGCATAGATAGCCTTATAGTTTAATATTACCGTAATGAAAACATTCTTAGGGTTTGTAAGCTGTGTGGTAACGCATGCATATTTCACAAAAGCCAGGAGGCAGGATTGCTGGATAACGCTTACGTCACACGTGAGAGACCTCAATCTACTGGGGCAGATAAATTTCCTCGATAAAAATATAGCAAGGACTGACCTATATTTGCGGGGCTTAATTGTACTTCCCTAATGCGGGTATTTGCTGTGCATGCTCGTTTCCTCCCACGCCCAAACTCCCAAAGGAAATTGCCAAACGTCCCAAGCAGGATGGTGGTATTTAAAGACCCTTGAGACTCGGGAGAAGCTTTCTCACCAGGAAACAAATTAGTTACTTTGATTCGACAATCATAATCGATAGGCAACGAGCCAAATGACAGCACCTGCAGGATTAAGAGGTTACGCCGTTTGCCATGCAGCCTCAGAGACATTCTAAATGACCGGTTGGATATGTTTGAGATGTGAGTGATGATGACCGAGCCAAATATAGTGAAGTAACCACTAAGATGTTTATGATTGACCTCTAACGGCAAAGACTCAATGACACTAAGGATATCTGATGATTCCTGAATTGTGCTCTGTAATATGATTTGCTGTTACTAAATATAGATTTAAAATACATATTGGATTGCCACGCCAGGGTCTCACTTGCTTACCGCTGCAAGTTATACGGCAACTAGTTTTACATTTCTCTACACCAGTGTCTTAGTTACCAGTGGAATACGAGTAGGTAGCAGCAGGCTTTGCCTGATATCACCATCTTCCAAAACGTGCCTAAAACACTGAGTGATCGAAAGTTACGTCATATTTGGATTCAGCACCCTTTAAAACATCGGGGGCCAAATTTGCATGACCACAGGTTAAAATCAAAGACTTAGAAATTTTGGAACCCCAACATTTGTGGTTCCCAAAATCATTTTTTTTACTTTGAAGTTTTCTAAATATAAGCACAGACTTTGACTGCATTTGTAACAAATATCAGCTCGATCGCTCTTCTAGAACATCATTTGAATTTACATCACTAACTCACGACTACACATGGGGTGCATTTTTATTGTATTGTACATTAGACAGCAATTTGAGTTAAGTGTATAAAACGACAGACTTTGTGGTATATCTTAGTCATGGGTGATTATAATATCTAGTTGTGTTCATCGTCCAAACTTTCACAGTTCTAAGGCATTGGCAACACACAATCATGTTTATCTGATAAGGGTTCCCACGTGCTCATCAATACCTCTGGTTGTTTCATGCACTTCTGTTATTATCTGTTAAATATCCCTCAAGCATTTCACTGGAGATAATGTTGATATAATTTCAACCAGTACGTTAAAACGATTGAGGTGTAATCTTTAATAATGGTTGATACTTTCATGGACGACCAGTGTCTATGATTTCACATACATGTGGCACTGTACTTGATTTCTAACACAATAATGGTGCCAAGGTAGTCTTTTTTTACAGAATTAATATTACTGTATACCAAAACAAGTACTGTATGCGTACTGTGATTGACAAGACAGTTGAAAAGTTGCAGAAAGGAAAACATTGTTGTCTAATAACAATGACTTTGAAAAATGTATCACTGATTTTTGTTTAATCTACCTGGAATTTAACAGCACACAATGGCAGTTGCAGACAACGGTTTCACATGGGAAAATCTAAAATACAATGCGGAAATACTAAACTTTGTTCCCCAAACCAATTAAAGCATTGTAAAGCTCATGGCTGCTTTACTTGAACTACTATACTTTAAATAAATTAACTGACGACCACATGGTGAACAGAAACGAATGCTTAGTTCTTGAATGGGTGAGAGAACAAGCGAGTTGCCGAGTACAGTAGTATACGGAGGGAAAGGCAGACAATGCAAGTGAAGTAAGTGTTGTTAAAGTGGTGTAATTATAGACGTAAAGTTCGGCGAGCCAAGGCAGCCGAGGAAGCTCGCCCTTGTGAAGGCAGAAACTCGATGTGCCAGAGTAAAACTAGAGGTGTGGTGAACAACAAAAATGAATGTGTGAACAGAGTTGGGGAGAGTAAACAGATGGCGATGGGGAGAAGTGTGAAAAGCGAAGCGGGGGTGGGGGAGAGATGGGAAAGGCAGTAAAGTTGCATAGATTGTGTAGAAATTAACAAAGCGATGATTGCTGTTACTTGTGTCCCTTTATCCCACACGCCAGTCTTTTCTTTGAATGCTCTCTCTAAAATCAACACAGCTATTTTGTTGTCAATGATTTATTTTTCCTGCGGTTGAACACACTGTGTAATTGGTTATTCTGCCAGGTGCAATGCAAACATCACTTCACCGCTTTTGCGTGCCTTCCCGTACCCACGAACAAATCTGTGTCCCGTGCACCGGACACTTTGTTAAAAGGTCCAGATCCACACACACACACGTGGTCGGGATCATAAAGAGCACTGCTCAACTCATCAGCGGTCCCATTCACCTTGTTTGTTCCCAAGCTTTGCTCACATCGTCAACACACGGGTCCCGAGAGGCCCTAGCCAACACCGTAGAAGCCTCACCACCCTAGGTCAGGAGACAAACAACCACCTCGTTTGCTCAATGCCTAGGGCGCCCGCTCACCCATCCAACAGGTGACGAAGCCTCCTCCTCTCTTGCCTGGCCAGCCTCAGAGCTTGTGCCCCACCCGACCCCTCAGCTCGTGACGAGCCCACTCTCACCTTGCTCACCTGGCCATCCGCTCGTCCTGCCAGCAGTCCAACGAGCCAGTTTGACTGCTCAAGGCTCGGGGGAAGCTCCCTCAAGCTCACGCCTGTGGCTCGGCCAGAACCCCATGGGCCCCACCCCAGACCCACAAACTCGGTCAACAAGAAAGTTGAGCCTCGCCCTCGCCGCCTCTCTCTGTCTCACCTGGTTAGGCCACCCCCAAAACGCGCCACTCACCCGGCAGGGCCTTGCTGGATCCTGCCCGGGTCCCACGGCCAGGCCCCGCTCTCACCTGGTGAGATGAAACCAATTGCCTTCCCTCACCTCACTTCTAGCAACAGAGACCCCCCCCGCCCGCCTGCCCGCCCGTCGCGCTCACCTACCCGACAGGTGGAGGAGGAGGGTAGCCCCCCGCTCTCTCGGCCTCACCCTGGGCCCCGCGGCAGCCTCCCCGCTGTGCCCATCGCCCCCCTCTCACCTGGTGAGTAGCCCGGGCAGAGCCTGCACGGTGGCCGAGCCGAGGCCCCGGCGGCTCGCCAGCAACTTCTCCACGGCCGCCACGTTCCCCGTGCGCGCCGCCTCCAGCAGCTCCTGCTCGCGGCCCATTGCTGCCGCGGCAGTGTCGAGTAGCAGGGGGTGGGGGCGGCGGTCAGGTCGTGGGGTCAGCTAGGGTCAGGTCACGAAGTTGTGGGGGGGGGGAGGTCACGGCGGAGGGGGTCGAGCGCTCGCGCCGCTTCCGATCGGCGACTCTCGTAACAAACACGAGGTGGGTGGGGGGAGGGCCGAGGGGGGGAGAGAATCGATTCTTCGAGTCGGTGCGCTCGCGATTCACGAGCAGGCAAGGAGAATCGATTACGGTTTTCAGGAGGGGGTTTTACGCAACGTTCAGAATTTTGTGTGCAAAAAATAAGAACGGGTTTTTAGTATTTCTGGCAATAAAACAGGTGGTGGTAAGATGTTCAAACGCCTTTTGCGAGGAATCAAGCACTGCATTAATCGCACACAGTATTTGCGGTGAACATGCAAACAAACATGCGCTCTGATAATTATTAATCTATGGCATTGTCTTTGAAACTGATTGGCCTACACCAGAAACAGCCTTGTTCTTTACTCTTTGGTTCTATTGGGTAAAGTCACGTAGGTGAAAATAAAATAACAGTGATTTGTTGTTATTTTATTTTCACCTACGTGACTTTACCCAATAGAACCAAAGAGTATGGATCCTAGCAGTCACGAAAGCCTTACATCTATAAGGGAAGCCTTGTTCTTCATGGCCTGGTCTCGCCACCACTGTCAGACCATAGAACAACGCCAAAAGGCGAACAGCACAAAGGCATTGCACGTATCGGAGCTCAGCGTGAGCAGATATATAATGGAATTAATTTTGCCAGTATCAAAGCATGAAAAATAAGAAACGGTTTTACCCGTTCCGGCAATAAAACAGTTGTTAAGATGTTCAAACACCAAATAAATACCTTTTTGCAAGGCTTGATTTCTTACAAAGTATGAAAAATAAAAAATGTTTTACCCTTTCTGTAAGTTAAGATGTTCAAACACCACATATATACATTTTGCAAGACTTGATTCCTTCCAAAAAGGTATCTATGTAGTGTTTGAATATCGTAATACCTGTTTTATTGCCAGAAATGGTTACACCTATTCTTATTTGATATACTTTAATACTGGCAGAAAGGTCCCATAACATCAGAATCTTTGTTTAGACTGCAGCAGGAGGAAAAATCTGATGAGCTGTGAAGCTATTTTCTTCACAGATGTCCAATACGGGCACGGGGGTCAGCAAGTTACAACAGCAAATCAATAATAATAATAAAAAGATAGGCGTGCAAAATGGAGAAAATGGTAAAAAAAGTCACTGAATATAAATAATAAAGAAGTGCATTATATAAATCCGATTTATCAAGATTGGGCAAAGCAGCAAAAACAAAAACAGTCTCAGACCACACCAAGATAACACAACAGCAGGTATTCCCTCAATACAATGGCACATTAACAATGAACTATCGATACGCATATAATTTTATTGTTTCCCTTCAACGTGACTTTACCGAAAGAGCTAAGAATATGAATTACTGCAGTCACGAAAGCTTTAAATCAAAATTTATCGATACGCATTTAATGTTAAAACGTTCCGAATCAGAATCATGTATTCATCCTGGAGAAATCCGATGAGCCACGGGTGCTATTTTTAATCTTAAATGACGCGTGTTGTTTAAAATCTTGCGAATGACGAGAAAAATCCCATTCGCAACGGGGGATATCAGCAGTGCAGGTTGCAAGCGACACGAAGTCATGCGTGTACGACAAGCAACTCAGCCTGCATTAAATTGCGCGCTCTGCGTTTGTTGTACAACACGCCGTGTGTGCGCGACGCGCTGATGCGTGCGTGCGTGCGGAACTGGGCGTAAATGTTTATTTGAAGTTACATTTCTCCAACTGCGTGACTTTCTCTAACTGTGGTGTCAATGTCCCCCCACTGACTCAACGCGCATTGGCAGCGTCGCCACCACGTCCCATCTCAAGCCAAGTCCCACACTTTGCCCTGCTCGCAGCACGGCTAATTAAGATTTCACCCTTTACACCGCATTGCAAAGACACACTTGTCCTCCTCCTCCTCCACCACCACCAACAACCACTGCATTATAAATCCGGCATCCCCTACCTCTGGAAGGGCTCACAAAGAGCCCCCCACCCACTCACCCCCTCCTTGAGACTTTTCTGCCAGCAGTGCCGTGAGCGGCAAATTGTGGTGCGCGATTTGTCGAGATCCGAACTCACAAACCGCTGCTGCACTCCGCTAGACGAAATTTGCGCCGCTGCTGATGTCGCTACGCTTTCTTTGGGGCCGTCCATAAATGACGTCACGCGATTTTTGACGAGTTTTGACCCCCCCCTCTCTCCCCCCCCCCTAGTCACACGGCGTCACGAAAAGTCAGACCCCCCCCCCTCAAGTATGACGTCACAAAGCTCTGCCCCCGCCCAAAACCATATTTCCATTTTGAAAATAAAACCTGCTTCAAATCGCTTTAAACTATTGTAATTGTAGTGCGTGTTTAATGTGGCGCTGCACTCTGATGTTGTAGGAGAAAACATTTATTAAAAAAAAGTATATTTAATTAAGTAGAACGTGTTGTCTATATTTATTTAAAGTTGCGCATTTTGATGTGACGTCACATTTCTCAACCCCCCCTCGTCACACATCGTCACAAACGTCTGACCCCGCCCCCCCAAAGGTGCGTGACGTCATTTATGGACGACCCCTCTACAACGAGGCTTGCCGCGAATCGCCTCCGCCGAATCGTAACGACTCGCTGCATTCCACACTCGAAGCATCGTTGCATCCTTACCGCTCGCAGGATCAACGACGCATTGGCTGCTGCGCGTGGTGGACGAATCGATAGCTTTGTTCCCCTCGTCAATGATGCGCTTCGAGTTCGTGACCGCTTCCGCGGAAGATTTCGTAATCCGCCATCGATTGCCCCGTGAGCGACACCGTGGCTACTTAGAAACGATTAGTGAAGTCGAATCGGTTAGTCGAAAAGCTCCGACGGAATCGACCGGCACTGCATCGTTGTTATGCTAAGTGGCCACGAGAGGGGGGGGGGGTCACACCATGCATCTGTTCGTGGAGGGCTTTTGCAAGTGCCTTGATCTATCTACTGCTGGATGTATGCATGTTACAGTAAACGCTTATTAATGCGCGACTTGCCCAATTATACAATGTTCCGAATTATACAAGAATAGGTTTTACCCTTTCTGGCAATAAAAACAGTTGTGTTAAGATGTTAAAACACCGAACATAAATTTTGATTTAAAGCTTTCGTGACTGCAGGGATTCATATTCTTGGTTCTTTCGGCAAAGTCACGTAGAAGGGAAACAGTAAAATAATAAAAAATATATAACAATAAAATTATCACGTTTCGACTGCAACACAAGCAATCATCATCAGGTGTGAAAACCACATCAAGAAAATTTGAAAAAAGTGGCGGTTTTTTAACGTTAGCACCACGGAGAGCGTTTTGGCAGTTATTCAGATGGACGAGTCCATCTATGTTCGGAAAAGAGGAGGGGGGAGACGAAAATAATGAATGTGGTCTGAAATCCACCGTAAGCGTGAACAATCAATCAAGACCCGAAATGGTTTATCAAATCCTTCCAATGATTGGTAAGCCAGAATCCATCTTCTCGGTTGAAATTGTCTCTGTGTTTGTATATGTGGATAGCTTCATGAACGAATCTCTCATGGTAGCCAGATGGCTTGCAAAGAACCTCTGTCTTGGAGAAGCCAATGTCATGTGAGCCTACTGAATTATAACAGTGATCTGCCACGGCCGAGGTGTTGGTCCTACTGTGTTTTAGATCTGCTTTGTGTTCACGAATGCGGTCCGAGACATGTCGTTTGGTTTCTCCAATGTAACTACTACCACAGAGGCAACTTAGTTTGTAGACGCCAGGGTACTGTATGTCCGGAATCACATCTTTTACAGACGGAACCAGATCACGGATTTTATGTAATATGTTGAATCGGACCTGGATCTTGTGTTTATTCAAGATTTTGGAGATCTTTTTTGTGATCCCCGCAATGTAGGGTAAAGTGATGGTTTTGAAAGGCTCCTCAAGAGGGTCCTTCTTCATGGTTGGAGTGATAGCTTTGCGGATTGTGTAGTCGGAGTAACCATTAGCCTTAAGAGCATCCATTATTTTGGTCTCCCCCCTCCTCTTTTCCGAACATAGATGAACTCGTCCATCTGAATAACTGCCAAATCGCTCTCCGTGGTGCTAACTTTAAAAAAAACACGCCACTTTTTCAAATTTTCTTGCTGTGGTTTTCACACCTGATGATGATTGCTTGTGTTGCAGTCGAAACGTGATAATTTTATTGTTTTATATTTTTTATTATTTTACTGTTTCCCTTCTATGTGACTTTACCGAAAACACCAAACATAATTTTTTTTCAAGGAATCGTGTCTGCATTAACCACATATACTAGTGGTGAACATGAAACTAAAAATATGCTCTGACACAACTGTTTTATTGCCAGAAAGGGTAAACACTATTATTATATTTTGATACTGGTGTAGTGTCTTGAATCACGGACGAATAAACTCCTTTGAGGCACACACTGTTTATTGTTTTTTCTCCAACACGGTCCCTAACACACAAAGGGGTATCCGGTCCCCTTACCCGTCGACCTAAGGAGGTACAGCCTCCGGACTTGACGGGACTTCCACTTAAGTCTACCCGCTAACCTAGCGTCCTCCGGCTGGGACCTAGGGGAGGCTAGCTGACCCACTGCTGGCTCGGTGGGTCCCCGACCACTGGTCACGCTGAGCCTCAGCCCTTAGAAGGGCTGGAAGGCTTGGTCCAGGGTCCTAGCTGTCTTCAGCCCGGGCTTCAGTCTTCGTGTGGAGAGAACTGAGCTCGCGCTCTCAGCGCTCGCCCTTTTATACCGGTGTGTGGCTGGGTCCATCCAATCCCACGCTCCCTTGTGGAACTCTCTGATTGGTTCTTCCCAATCTGTGATTACGATCCTCTTTCACCTCGTCTGACCCCTGGCCGTTTGTCTGGCGGGAATCTGAGGTTTCGATCCTCTCTCACCTCTCCCTGACCCCGGCCATTATTCACACAGAGGTAACGCTGCATCGCCCCTTTGATACATAGTGGCACTACAGGTTACCGAATAGCCAGTAGCTATCACCTCTACAATGGCAAGGGAGGTCCCATGATTCCGAATTATGTACAGTGTCTCCTGTCCCAATAAAAACCCCCCAAAAAATGTCTTCCAAACTCTTCATGCACCATACCCTGCATCAATTCTGTCCAAAACTTAGTATTTGTCTCGCAGACTAAGGGATGTTATATATTTCAGTCCATTGTTACGATTTCTTGATGGAGGTGTAGACGGCGTTTCCGAGAGGGTTGGCTTGCACAGAGTGCAACATAATAAACAAGGTAAAGTCCAAAGCAACAATGTCTGCACTGTTGCCACGAGACCGAGTCGTTGTTTTGGTCGTGGCGCGCGGCGTCGCTCCACGCGCTATGCCGAAATTGAACAATTCGGCACGTGGCGAATTACTAATCCTGTATATATGCCGAAAGCGCTGCCGTGCCAAATTATCCCCAATTACGAATGATAAAATACCGAAATAACGAGATTTTACTGGACGTTGAACTTCTTTGGCACCATACGTAGCCAACCATGCTAATCGGAGGTGTGTGGGGGGGGGGGGTAATATCAACGAGCTTATTTGCAGTACAGTAATATCTTCTTCTTCTTCCACGCGTTTGTCCCACTCAATGGGGGTTCCGCTGTTGCAAGGACTTTCCATGTTTTTGGCTTAAGGGTTTTTACGGACGGTTGCCGCCAGACGCCAACACTCCTCCTTTATCCTGGCTTGGGACAGGCACAGAAACAAGTTTCCGGCGGAGTTAGTACGGCAATGTCATCGTCATCTATCTTGCCTGCGTGTCTCTTGTCGGTCACGACATCCGTCTCAAGTGTGTCTGCATCTGTCTCGTCTACATCCGTGCAGGATCTCTGTTCTGTCATCTCGCGGGGAATTCCACACGAGCACCAAATGCGTCAGCACCACCCGCTGAGTCATGAGACAATTTGGGTTGGCACCAAAGATTTCTCCAATGTAGCATTTGTCCTTCGATCGTATATATAATCGTATTCTGTGTTTAGGGGCCGTCCATAAATTACGTCACGCGATTTTGGACGATTTTTGACCCCCCCCCCTCGTCACAAAAAGTCAGACCCCCCTCAACTATGACATCACAAAGCTCTGCCCCCCCCCCCCCCCAAAACCATATTTCCATTTTGAAAATAAAACATGCTTCAAATCGCTTTAAACTATTGTTATTATAGTGCATATTTAATGTGGTGCTGCACTCTGATGTTGTAGGAGAAAACATTTATTAGAAAGTCTATTTAATTAAGTAGAACGTGTTGTCTATATTTATTGAAAGTTGCGCATTCTGATGTGACGTCACATTTCTCAACCCCCCCCCCGTCGTCACACATCGTCACAAATGTCTGACCCCCCCCCCACCCCAGGTGCGTGACGTCATTTATGGACGGCCCCTTAGGCTGGAGGAATCCGATGAGCTATGAAGCTCTTTTTCACAGGTGTTCAAGGTATGGGCGGGTCAGCAAGTTGCAACAACAAACATTACAAAAATAGGATAGGAGTGCAAAGTATAGGTAAGGAAAACGATTCACTTTTTAAAAAATACAACTGAAACTAAAACTAAACCAGACATGGGCAAAGTACGGCCCCCGGGCCTTATACGGCCCGTTGGGATTTTTAATCCGGCCCGCCGAACTTGTCTAAATATTATTATTAAATTAAATTTTACCTTTCTCCTGTAATGCCCCCATTTCCCCATTAGATGGCGCACGTTGACCAGGAGTTACGACATGTTTTTGTATTGTTCATGTTCGTGCAATTTGTTAAATTGCCTTGCAAATAAATGCTTTGCTACCTGTTAAAGGCCAAATCCTTTCATGTAATGATATTTACATGTCATTTATATTAGTTCACACAAACACTCCATCCATCTGTTCCTGGCCCGGCCCCTCTGTCAAATTTTAGAACCCATTGTGGCCCGCTAGTCAAGAAATTTGCCCACCCCTGAACTAAACTCTAACAAAAAAATAAAGGGCTATGTGTACATGGACTGCAATTACCCCAAATTTACGTCGGGGATGTGTTCCTGAAATGCGCGATGACGAATATCGAAACGACGTTAAGTGAAAGCGATGTACAGGGTACGGTGGTGGAAGCGAAGGCCGAGAGGCGATGGATACGGGGAAGGACGGACGATGGATGCTGTCAGCGACGTAAGTGTGGGGTTGAGGCGACGCAAATCAGCGCGTGGCATTGATAAAGTGACGACGCATTCGCGAAACAACGTAAAAGGGAGAAACGTAAATCGGGGTATTACTGCACGACTTTCTGGATTGGTTGCTCCAACATGAATTGACTGAGATGAATGGAATTTCACGTGAATATTGGCCCAAAAATTAAAATCCATTCCTATCAGTCGCTCACACCCTTGACACACATGCAATGAGAGCCCCAGCAGCATGCCAGAGCGTATCACTCATTCAACAGTGTTTTGACGAAGCCCTTTACAATATATGAAAGTGTTATGCGCAATTGCATTTTAGAATATATTTGCAGCCCTATGTTGCTGGCTGATTAGCATATATTGTTATTTGCTCAAGGTGTTGCAAATACCAACACCATACCGAGATTAATGTGAGCACAAGAAAAAAAAGTTGATATAATTAATTCATATGTAGGAATGAGTGAAAACAATGCTTAGAAAATATTTTTTTTCTTAAATTCATATAGCTTCGTGTCAAACCGCGATCATTACAACTATGCGTACACTGTAACGGATGAAAGATAACTCCTACAACAAAAAAATCACGATACTTCACATGATTTACTCTATCAGCCATCAGATCTGTGGCTCAGCATGATCATGTGT